CGAAATACGCATGAGGCTGCTAAATAAAATTGAGCATGACTCGTCCATTAATCTCATGTCCATCATTTCCGAATGCCACAGGTTAATCAACTTGAAGCACGATAGGAACATGATTGTCCAAGGTCACAGTCCATGTCCCGTGGATGTGTTGGCGGTATCAAACCAGCGCGAGAGTACAGCGACAGTCCAAAAATCGTTGCAGTCCAACAGACCACCATCCGCATGCCTGCAATGTGGCGAATAGCACTTCGCCAAATTCTGTCCGTTCAAGTAGCATCCTTGTCAGAAATGCAACAAACGGTGGGCACAAGAAGGATCATTGCCATGCGACCATTTTCAACTAGAACGTTTACACCAAACCTGCCAAGACGTTTGAACCCACATCGCTAACAAAACGAAGACCTCAAATTTATCCTGATTTTGCTACCTTCGATACAGGGACCGCAAAACGCAGGTTCGTAACAGTAGTTGTGAATCAGGGTCCCATACGCCTCCAAGTTGACGCTGCCTCAGACGTCACGCTTATTTCCGAGACAACTTGGAAGAAAATCGGTGAGCCACCTGTTCAAAGAACAACTCGAATTGCAACCAACGCTTCAGGAGGACCGCTGGACTTGGCCGGTGAAATCTGTTGTCCTGTTTTGTTCAAAGATTGTCAGTTCATAGGGGTATGCTATATACAGAGACATCCCGATCCAAACTTACTCGGTCTCGATTGGGTTGAGAATATGAAACTGCTTAATGTTCTCTTGAATTTCGCGTGCAACAAAGTAAGCGATGCATCTGCAGCGTGGACGGAGTCTTTACAGCGGAAATATCCGCAGGTGTTCAAGATGGTCTGGGATTGTGCACGAAAACCAAGGCCAATCTTTCCCTGCGGCCAGAAGCAGCGCCAATCTTCCGACCAAAGAGACCAGTTCCATATGTAGTGCTTTCAATCGTCGACCAAGAACTTAACAGACTAAAGTCAACCGCAGTTATCAAACCAACGAATTTCTCTTCATGGGCAGTCCCCATTGTGATTGTCAAGAAACCAAACGGAAACATACGCTTATATGCAAATTACCGGTCTGAATGCCGCCTTAGAAGACCACATATACCCTCTACCCATGAGGACATTTTTGCACGTCTGAACGGTGACAAGTGTTTTGTCAGACTGGACTTGTCAGACGCATATCTCCAGATTGAAATGTCAGAAGGATCGCGTGAGTTGCTAACGATTAACACTCAGAGAACTATTCCAGTATACACGCCTCTTATTTGGCGTTAAGTCGACCCCGGCAATCTTTCAGCAGATCATGGATACGATGCTACAAGGAATACCTTATGCCGCTGCATACCTGGACGATATCATTATCATGGGATTTAACCAGGAAGAACTACACCAGCAAACGGAACTCCTGTTTGACAGAATAAACGAGTATGGTTTCCGCCTACGAATGGACAGGTGTGAGTTTTTCATGACCTCCATTAAATACCTGGACTTTATCATTGACCAAAATGGACGAAGACCTGATCCATCAAACATCAAGGCGATTAAGGAAATACCTCCGCCGAAAGACGTAGCGACGTTGAAATCATTCCTGGGTATGGTGAGTTATTACCGTATCTACCTGCCGTCCATGCACGACCTACGCGGACCATTAAACCAGTTGCTGACGAAGGACGTCTCGTGAGTCTGGTCTACCGAATGTCAGGAAGCCTTCGACAGTATCAAATTGTTACTAAGCTCAGAACTGATGCTAGCGTACTACCATCCAAAACTTCCAATTGTAGTGGCATCGATTGCATCTAGCTATGGAGTTGGAGCAGACATCTCCCACATTTTCACAGCTGAGTCTGAGAAGCCAGTCGCTCATGCCGCTTGTTCACTAGCAGCAACAGAAAGCATAGTCAAATTGAAATGGAGGCTCTCGCTATTGTGCCTGCAGCGAAACATTTCCACAAAATGTTATATGGCCGTAATTTTACCTTATTAACGGACCACAAACCGTTTCTTGCCATATTCGGCTCGAAGAAAGGAATTCCTGTATATACGGCCAATTGTCTGCAGAGATGGGCGAAAACTTTGCTGGGGTACGATTTCAACATCAAGTACCAATCGACGAGCGACGTTTGTCAGGCCGATGCGCTGTCACGGTTGTTAGACGAACAGCACCAACCAGAAGACAGTTTCGTTGTAAATGTCTCAATAGAAACGGAAGTTAACTGTGCACTCTCGGATACTGTGAGCCAGCTTCCAATATCTTTCAGTCAGATTCGAGACGCCACCTTACGGGACCCGCTGCTCTCACAGGTGAGCACTTTTACCACTTACAGTGGCCTCCAAAATTTTCCGACGCACAGCTACAACAATCGTTCCAACGACGAAATGCACTATCGGTCGTCGAAGACTGTATCTTTGATGAATGTGTCGTCATCCCAGCTGAACTTCAAGCTCAAGTCATACATCATTTTCATACTGGATATCCCGGTTCCAACAGGATGAAGGCCTTAGTGAGGAGTTGTGTGTACTGGCCGTTTATGGATTCTCAAGTTGAGGAGTTAACACGTTCCTGTTCAAATTTTACCCTAGCAACAAAACCACCACGGCAATGCGAACTGTTCTGGCCAAAGCCCACGAAACCATGGTCAGACGTTCACCTTGATTTCGCAGGACCAATCAAAAGAAAGAACAACTTACTTATCATCGATGCACACAGCAAATGGCCCGTGATCTGCAACTGTCGAACACATCAATCTCGGCTACGATTACAGTTCTTGGGGAAGTATTCAGTCTGATGGGTTTTCCGGAAACAGTAGTATCGGATAATGGACCCCAGTTTACCGCTTCACATTTTGCTGTATTCTGTGCGACACACGGCATGCGGCATTTGCGCTCATCTCCTTATCATCCACAGAGCAAGCTGGACGATTTGTGGATACTTTCAAGTGGGCTCTACTAAAAGCGGAAGAAGACGGACCAATCAGAATACCTGAAGATCTTTCTCCTGTAGATAACTTATGATAATTCTGATGGTTTATGTATCTCATAGTGAAATCTATAAACGCATCATAAGTTGTCTACTTCTGAGGTAGAATCACTGACGGACAATAACATCTACTAACCTCTGGTCGGGTATCTTCGCTTGCACCCCAAAATCATGCACTTGTCATGTTGACATGCATCACTGAGAGTGTGATAACAACACCACACAATTTCAGCGTGCACACACGCGTTCGATACGATTGGTAATGAATCCATCGCATGCTATCACCGTTTAACCATATTTTCGTAGACACAAGTTTCCTACAGCTCTGACGCCTCTTTACGGATATTCGCAACATTTGACCACATTTTTTAATGGGCGGGTACCCTGCATTATTCCCATGCCTCCTACATTTTTCGGCAATCCAACCCTGCAATTAACACTACCTTTTTTAATAAAATTGGTACGTATCTTGTATATTTTTGTTTTGTTTTGTCTATAAATCAAGCAAATCTTCATAGTTCATCTGTGAGGCAACCTGATGATTTCATAAGCTGGCGCGACTTTAATTCTAGAACACTTAGGCAAGCTCGATAGAGTCGAGATTTTAAACACCCCACCGCTTTTAGATATTGTATTTTTCGTGCACTTGGTGTTGGACTCGAATATGCCTGCTTGTCTTTCCTTATTTCAATTACCTTACCCACTTACATGTTTTTCTCTCTGAAAATCCAATTAACATATTGCCGAATATAAGCCCCTCCATGGATAAGCCGACAGTACAACTGCAATATCAATTTTGTCCAAAGTCGTAATTCTCTATATTAGTCAGCGTACAAAAAAGCAGCAAAAACAGAAACAAAATTGTTTCTCCACGATTTTGACGTCCTCCCTACCTGCTCTCAATAGAGTGTGTTCAAGCGCTTTTGATTCGCTACCCAAAATAGCGCTAATTCGGCTTCACATTATCCACGCTACCGTCCGTCACTAACGGGTGATGCTAAGATGAGATAAGGGCAGAGCTGGATAGTGAACTCCCGGGTGGATTTTGCATGTGACTGTTTTCAAATGTGTGTAAGCCGACCCCCCCATACATAAGTGAAAAATTGTCAGCAAATTATCGGCTTATATTCGGTAATTTACGGTATATTCGCGATACTAACATTACTCAGTTACTTGCTGCAGTAGGCGCTTTCTGCTGCATTTGTTGAGGCCTAAGTAGTGACCTCAAACTATCAACATCTCGTGATACTCCCTTGCACTTCCAGTGTTTGGGCCGCCAGCTGAACTGCGCATAGATGACTGTCCAACAAAGTCCACTCATCTAACTGGGGCCCAGCGTCTCTACCAAGGAGAATACGTTCGACCCAATCTGCTTCATCACTCCTGGTTGCGAGACGATTTCTGTTAACCCATTCGTAAGTCGATTCTCTGGGAGGCGGAAAAAACCAAGTCGTAGCCTTATGGATCACAAGCCTGTCTTTTAATCCGAGAACGCGGGTTCGAGCCTGCAGTGGGACCGGGCGACCCTCGCAGTATCCTTAGCGCACGTGCGACCGCTGGTGGTTACGCGGCATCGAAGCCTCGGTACTGCGTACCGTCGTACTGCTGGTGCCTCTTTTTTGCATTTTTTCTGGGAGCCGGAGATGCCGCAAACCACACAGTCTGTGCTCGTCCGATATATCATTTATCCACTCCTGCGCTCATGGGGAACATTGGAGCCTAATGGGTATTCCATGCACAGTCGCCAGTTTTTACTCGATAATGACCGCGATCACACCGATTCAGAGTTTTTAGGATGGTCTCCTCTTCATGCTGTATAATGCCAGTTCGTTATCATCTCCACACTAGGTATGTAGTCCGTAGTTTTTACGAGAGAGTTGTTTGAGTGTTACAGCTGCTTTTGCGTGTATTTTGTTACCCGAACCTAAGTTGTCTACCTCTTGGTTATTGTGTTGACACCTATGTATTATGCCACTGCGCTTCTCTTGAGGTTACTCTAATCAATATTCCTTTATTTCTATTCATTAGGAGCACAAGGACGACGACTATTTCCTCTACATTGCCTACAGTGATGAAAGCATCTATGGTTAAGGATGCTCTGCCTTTCAAATCGCTTTCCACGCCTTTTGCTGCCATCTGCACCCTCATCGTTTCTCCTCACACCCCCATCGTAATCACAATCACTGAGGAACCTGTTTACTGAAACTTCACATGGATTGTATTTGTACATTGATGTACCGTCCTTGTGCGTCTATATCTATGTAGTCTTACTCCGTTGTGTCATCACTACACTGCTTTTATCCATTCACACCTCCCCCTATCCTGTGATCCAGCGGAATTCATGTTTTCTGGGAGTGGCCAATTCACCGGACTTTGTTTTCCATTCCTCACATGAATCTCCGACCAGTTCCATTAGTAGGAGCTGTGCACTTCTAATCTTCCGTGCTTATATTTGCCTGCGTACAACTCTTGGTAGTACGTAATTCTCTTATTATCATACGTCTTTTCTCCTTTACGCTCTTCTCACATGTTTAACTTCCTCAAGTCATCTCCACTTGTCCTTTTCCATTCAATAATGCCTATCTTTAATAAATTATCTTATACCCGCGGTAAATTTGCGTTGTTCGTGACAGTACTGTATTGTTTGCTTGTCATCTTTATATGCCGTACAAGGATGTGTCTCTTCATTGCTGCCTAGCCAGTCTCGACCCACTTGACCACAGTCGACAGCGGACGACAATGTTCAACAACTTATACATGTGATTGAAATCAGCTTCCATTCATCGAATTCTCTAATCCACGATGCATCATCTTCACTCAAACGTCCAGCTTTCTACATAACGTTTACTTAAATATGCTTCCTAAGTGCCTAGGCACCCTACCTGCCCATTCACATTCCCTGTACCTAAAACATTGTCTGAACTAGTAACACTATGAACTAATGAATTAACTTCATGGTATGTGTCCTTGGTAGCGTCAGAACTGCATTCGTTGGAGACTAGTGACAATCACAAATACTACCTGTTAACATCGAACGGTGGCATGTTTTCGCTTCTTAGCTGAACAGATGGGGCAACCCTTCTAAAACTACGCGACAGCTGATGCAAGATGTGACTAATAGTTGTTGATAATTTCAACACCGTACTTGGGCTGGGATACTGCCGGGCACCAGAACGTAGACAGGCGAATAACTAAGGTCCTTTTGGTTCAGTAACCTGAACGCCAGGCAAGTGCTATGTGACAAGGATTCTTTTTATAGCAATGGATGCCACCCTAGTTCCAACCCCCACCTGTAGGAACAGAGAGTGCGATCGTCTTACTTTTGCTTTATGGTCAGTCTAGTAGGCGTACCTCTCAATGGATCTGCGAAAACTCCTCAGTATTGTTCATTGAATCACAAAGGTACGCAAACCGTCACGCTACCGTTTCTTCGGGTGGCAATGATCTCATGCACCGAAGTCTTTTGTGCGAATTGTTTCTGTTTATTTTCTCTGACTCGACATGCACCATGCCCAACTGCCACCCGTTCTTATCCTTTAAGAAATAGTTCTTCCACACTTGTTTGTTCATCTTTCGAATTCTCCTCAACGGATTTTCTCTCATTCGACCAAAATATCTTTAGCTCTTAATAAGCTGCTGCATTTGTCTTTGTAACAACTCGGTTTTTTAAACAAAAGTAAACGCTTATTGCTCCACTCACCAGCAAAGCCGCAGCCTACGTTTTGCCGCCGTACCCTCAGACAAGCCGGTTGTTGATATTTGTAGCTGACATTGCCCGTTCCCGCATTCATTTGTCACTACGACTTCCAGATGATGCTCGCGTCCGCGAAATGCTCATGAGTAGCTTGTGCTGTACCACCCAAAGCCCTGCTCACATGCCCCATGTCCATTTAATCCGGAAGAATGCGGCGGGTGAACAGGTTTTCACGGGAATTGTTATTGATTCCGGGCTAGTCTGTCTTTAGTACGCATGTCGGATGTCAAATTTATGAGAGACATGTTCGGTAGAGTTACCTAAAGTTGTGACCATAGCTCGTCCTATGATGGAACCGCTTTTTGAGCCTGGCCTCGTCACCGGGACAGCGCACCCTACTTCTCCCATTAGCTTTTAACTGTTCCTTAAAGCCAGTACTCGAGGTGGCGGCGTCGAACAGTTGGCGTCTGATAGCCATTCGTATTAGACAACCAGACTCAGCGTGGTGTTCCTGGCTACGTGCATCAAGCTTGCGCCAGCTGACGTTCACTGGCACACGTACAGCCGGACTGTAGGGGCTATATATCACGTACTCCACATCGGCTTGTGGCTGCAAGTATTACACGCTTAACTTGTAATCCGGAGTTTACCGGTGCGAATCCGCGTCGGTGCGGACGGCCTCACAGTATATCCAGCTCTCGCGCGACTATTGATGGTCGCGTGCCAGGGAAGCACCGGTACGGTCTGCTGGCGTACTGCTGATGCTGGGCGGACACATGCTTATTGTACTCAGTCGTCGCTATCTTTTCCTCGGGACCATTTTGATAGCTGGCCATGTCAGTCGGCCGAGGCACAAATGCTCGTATGTACTGCAGGCTCATGTTGATGACGACAACGAGGTAGTATTCACCATAATCTGCCGATTATGTATGGGGCACTTTTGTTCTCCAACCATCATCGCCTGGATGATGGAATCCTTGATGTGGTTACGTTGTAGGAGATCGGCGACCAACCGTTTCCAGAATCACAACATTGGTTCGCTACAGCTCTGCCTTGATCATTTAATGTACATCTTCTTTTGGCCAAGCAAGTACATATATATCTTCTGCGAGTGATACGAGTCAGCGGGACTTCCATCGCAGTGGGTTCTACATTATCACTTCGTCCTCTAACCACCGTGATCATTCCATCATGTATCTCTCTACACAGGAAGACATTGAGTATACGTTTAGGGGGTGTAACGCGCTTATCTACCCATGAAATTCTTCTACTCTTCGCTTCGTGGTCTAGTCTACAGTCCTTGGCCGATCGTTGATGGATATCGACCAGCGTTCACGTGCGCCTCCTTACATTCCCATTGTTAGCGTTGTAGGTGTGTCTGTGTGTGCATGCTAATCCCCGGCACTGGTTCCGTGCGTATGCGGCTGCCGACGACCTTGGATCTCCAACCCTACTCTTCGCCGAACATGACACGTTCAGCCCGGAGCATGTGTCGCACCCCCTCCCCCGTTCACTAGTTGCTCGTCCAGACACCATGTTTATGCGTGCCACTAAACTCTCACCCTGTGATTGGACCATCCCTTAACTGGTCAACGCCATTATTCTTAATACTCGTAGCACTCAGGTGTAGTGACTTGTTCCTTTGATTGTCCGGCGTAGACAACTCGTTCCCTCCTATTGTTTACTGACACCTTGTTGTCAACTTGCATACACCGGGATACTGAACAATTGAAGTATGTCCCAATTATCAACTGTATATATTTTAATAGTACCGTAGTATTTGTGATCCGACATGTTTTGATTTCGGGATCTTTGGCTACGCGTTATTCAACGTTCACGGTGGACGTTACAGGGGGTGTACTTATCGCCACGACCACTCACTTGCCAAACTTCTCATCTATGCACAAAGTGATGTCTCTTGTCTACTTAATGTTTGTTAGACTACTGGAGAAAACATATCTATGCTATAAAATTTTCTGGCCATATGGGCCGCACATCCGGCTTCCTGTAGCCTACTTTTCTTCCAAATCAGAACTCCACTGGTGTTTAGCTCTTGAGTGCAAAAGGCGCGGTCCGGTTTCCCAGGCTTTACGGCCTTCTTTTTGTGACATCTCAATTATCTGATAACCACCTGAATGGGTTTTTGTAAGAGATCTGATCTTAACAATCACTTTGATGGCATTTTTGTTGTACACATGATTCCGGGGCTCGTGGTCATAGCTTCATTGGCTTGGATGCTACACCTGCTGACCTGATGAATGACCTTTCCTATGTTCGTATATCAGCCAATCGACCGACAATACAGCGAATCACCCTTTAGGCGATGGTTGCAATAATTATATCCGTTTTTCCCATTTTTCACCAGCATGGGGGCCATGTTGTAGCGGTTCAAGTGCTTAACTTGCAACCTCTATATCCAAATTTCGAGTCTTTGCCCATGTGCTTCTGTTCGAGCACTACCATAATGTCTCCTCTCGCACGCATTAATTTGTGGTTGAGAGCGGGGCACCAGTACACAGTATTGTTGACAATTTTTCTACTTTACATTTATCATCATAAATCTGCATGCTAGGTATTCGCGAGCTACTTCGGTCTCAACGAATACTATCAGACAGTATTACAAATGGTATCACCGTACTTTACTAGCACTCAGATCTCTGTCCTTGAGTTCTGCACTACCTCCACATCTGAGTGCACTAGACATACGTCGTTATTGGCATCTCTGTGCCAGATTCCCAACTGTTTCCGATAATCTAGATAGGCACTTCTGTTTTAGTCCGGTCATTTGACCCTTCGTTTATGTCCAACTGCTTGCTTTGTATGTTACATGGTGTTATGACTCCTTCTTGGTTGCGTCATGCTCTGACGATCTGGTATCAATTTTCCTTGTCGGACCAACGAATGTGACTTGGAACTATATTCACGCACGAAAATTCGAAGTTTGTACGACCTGTGAGACTAAGGCGCAACACGGTTACTATGCGCAAGTTGAACGGGCAGCTAGACCGAACGCAATTTCCCACGCGACTACCCGAACCCGAGAGAGACAAGACAAGAGACAGACCTTTCGCTGCAGGTACTTTTACCGGCCAGGCTCAAGGCGATTACAGCGCAGTCCAACTGATTAGATATCGCGATTGTGAAATATGTGAATTTTTCACCTAGAATGGTTTGCATAAGCAAGCCCTGGAAGTAAGGCATAAGCAAGTGGATTGACACTATGTGAATATGCCAGGGGAACATATCGAAAAGTGAATGTTAGTGGATGCGAAGGCTGGACTGGAAAAATAAATGTTTCTTAGGAAAAAATAAGGCTGACTGTTTCGTGATTGCGGAGATTGGTCGGAAACTGGACTGTTTCGTAGGTACAAAGGTTGGTCAAAAAGTGAATTTCTCA